GAGACAAACAGAAGACCTCTTGACCTGGTGTACTGGGTCTGGCTGGGATACTAACTCTCTCTGCAACAGCCCACACAGTGCTGTGCTCTGCACTTGTAGCTAGAACAGCAGTGGTATCACACCAGTGTTGTGTCTGCTGCTGAGCAGTGCTGGCACAGAATTAGGACCTCTCTAACCCTTCAGGGGGGTGGGAAAAAAAGTGAGAAAGGAACATCACCAGGGCAGCTGACCTAAACCAACCAAAGGGAGATTCCATACCATATGATGTCATACTCAGCAATAAAAAGGTGGAAAAAGGAAGAAGAGGGGAGGGGTGGGCTCTCATTGTGAAAAGGTCTGTCCTCCTAAACACTGGCTACATGCATTAAGGCCCTATTTCAAGGACATGGTCAAACATTGCTCTCATTTGTAGGAAGCAGGGAATAATTCCTTTCCTCTGCACATGCACACAGGCATTACTTGTTTTGTTTTGTTTTCCCTTTCCCCCTCCCTTTTCCCCTTTCCTTTTTTTTCCCTTTAGTTAAATTGTTTAATTAATAATAATCTTTCCTTAATAATTTTTTTCCCTTTAATTAAATTATCTTTATCTCAACCCATGAGTTGTTCTTTCCTTTACTTCTTCCCTCTTCTTCTAAGGAGGGGGGGTTGAGAGAGCAGTTGTGGTAGAGTTCAGCTGCCTAGTGTGGTAAAACCACCACAGTCCTTTTTGGCGCCCAATGTGGGGCACAAAGGGTTGAGATAACAATAGAATTGATTAAAACTCTTACAACTAACACACTTACTTGCTAGTCACCATGTTCAGTGTCCTGTTAATATTTGCTTGTTTGCTCATGTGTAATGTAATCCATGTCATGTTCTCCTTTCTCCTCTATATCCAATCTGAGAGTGTGCTACAATCTGTGTTCATTTTTTTTAATCGCTGTGCTGCCAAGCACTGGCCTTGAGTTTAATCTGGCATTCAGGCTCTGCACTTTTATCATTTGAGTCTCATGGAAACCATCTTTTAGAGAATATTCAGAATTACACGGCCTTCCTTTCCTCTTCTGGATGTCAGTTTATGAATAATATCAGGAATGGTACCTTCTCCTTCTTTCACAGTGGGCTAATTACAACAGTTTTTGAGTATTTTGAATATCCATGTGTAACCCATATATTGCTATTTCTAATTCTGAATAATATGTTTCCTCTTCTCTCTAAGATTAATCGATTGTTTAGAAAGCGTACCCGGGAATTTGTCCTGGAACAGTCTTGTGGCAGGTGGCAAGGTGTGCGGGAGGATATAGGCAGGTACCTGTCACGGGTGTCTCTTCCAATAATTTTGAACTTCACCCCTGAACAAATCCTAAAAACCTGATACAATGTTTGAGAGTTGTATGTCCTGACCCTGATAATGCTGGAGAACGACAGCTTGCAGCATTGTGCTGGGTCCTGGCTTACTCCTATCAAACACTGTTTAACATCATCCAGCACCTTGAAGAGAGGGAGGAAGTCTCTGTGTCTGATGACTAGATAACACGTGCTGTGACTGACCCAGAGGACCAACCAACTATGGTATCAGTCACCCCATAGTCAAGTCAAAACAGTGGAAACGGAAGTCAGCTCGTTTAGTAAGGGAAGAAGCTTCTCCTAAGACAGAGGGAGAAGGGGAAAAGGCAGGCATCTCTAAAGCAGAGCCATCACAAAAACAGCAGGAAGAAGAGATGGAAATCATAAAGGAAATAGAAACCATCCAATCCCTATCCCTGAGTGAGTTGCAAGAAATACGAAAGGATTATGGTTGACGCCCGGGTGAACACATCCTCACCTAGCTGCTTCAATGCTGGGACAGTGGTGCCAATAGCCAACAATTAGACAGCAATGAAGACAAGCAGCTGGGATCCCTCTCTAGAGAAATGGTAATTGACAAAGGAATTGGGAGAGGGACACAGGTTCTCAGCCTCTGGAGGCAACTCCTGGCAGCTGTGAAAGAAAGGTATCCCCATAAGAAAGATATTGTATATCAGATAGGCAAGTGGACCACTATGGATAAAGGTCTCCAGCATCTGCGGGAATTAGCTGTGCTGGAGATGGTTTTTAGTGATTTGGACAATGCCCAGATATCTCAAGATCCCGATGAAGTCCAGGGCACAACATCCATGTGGCATAAATTGGTGCAGAGTGCACCATCATCACATGCCAGTACACTGGCAGTATTTAATTGGGAGGAGGGGGTGGGACCAACAGTGTATACTCTGTCTTGCCAGCTTCAAAAATATGAGGACAATCTCTCTGTTCTGCTATGGGCCTGTGTCTCAGCTGTAGAGAAACTCTCCCAAAGGCTTGACCATCTCGTAGAATGAGCATATCCCTCCTCACCCAGACAAAGTGATATTTCAGCCACTAAGAATCAGTATTTTCCTGCTTGAGGAAGAGAATACCCAAGACATACACCACATGGTACCTTCTGGTTTTATCTGCGTGACCACGGGGAAGATGTGAGGAAGTGGGATGGTGAACCTACTTCAACCCTAGCTGCTCGAGTATGTGAGCTGCAAGGAAATACAGCAGCAAGAAGAGGGGCTCCTAAGAAAAACGCTGCTCCAGTTTCTGTTGGGCAGTTCCACAGAGGCAGTAGAAGGGCTGATGTTATTCTTGACCCTGATGAAGGCACCTCTGCTTCTCATTTGCAACAATTAAGTGGCAGACACTCCAACCAGGACTAGAGGGGCCCTGCCTCTGGCCAGCTAGAGGAGAGGGATAACTGGACTTACTGGTCTGTGTGGATCTGACGGCCTGGCACAATGGAACCAAAAGAATACAAAGCTCTAGTGGACACTGGCACACAGTGTACCTTAATGCTACCTTGGTAGCTTAATCAGGCTACCGAGGGACAGACCTCATCTGTATCTCTGGAGTGAAAGGGGGATCCCAACAACTAACTGTATTGGAAACTGAAGTGAGTCTAACTGGGAATGAGTGGCAAAACTATCCCATTGTGACTGGCTCCATGCATCTTTGTCATAGACTACCTCAAGAGAAGGTACTTCAAGGATCCAAAAGGGTACCAGTGGGCTTTTGGCGTAGCTGCTTTGAGCACAGAGAAGATTCGGCAGCTGTCTACCCCGCCTGGCCTTTCAGAAGACCCTTCTGTTGTAAGATTGCTGAAGGTTGAAGAACAACAGGTACCAATTGCTACCACAACAATGCACCAATGGCAACATCACACCAACCAAGACTCCCTGTTCCCCATCCATGAGTTGGTTCATTGACTGGAGAGCCAAGGAGTGATCAGACTCACTCACCCTTTAGTAGTCCTATATGGCCAGTGCAAAAGTCTAATAGAGAGTGGAGGCTAATGGTGGACTATTGCAGCCTGAATGAAGTCACGCCACCACTGAGTGCTGCAGTGCTGGACATCTAGAACTTCAGTACGAACTAGAGTCAAAGGCAGCCAAGTGGTACACCACAATTGATACTGCTAATGCATTTTTCTCCATCCCTTTGGCGGCAGCATGCAGGCCACAGTTTGCTTTCACTTGGAGAGGCATCCAATACACCTGGAATCAACTGCCCCAGGGGTGGAAACAGCCCTACCATTTGCCACAGACTGATCCAGTCTGCACTGGAACAAGGGGGAGCTCCTGAACACCTGCAATACATTGATGACATCATCATGTGGGGCAACACAGCAGAAGAATTTTTTGAGAAAAGGAAGAAAGTAATCCAAATTCTCCTGAAAGCTGGTTTTGCCATTAAACAGAGTAAGGTCAAGAGACCTGCACAGGAAATCCAGTTCTTGGGGGTAAAATGGCAGGATAGACGTTGCCATATTCTGGTGGATGTGATCAACAAAATAACAGCAATGTCTCTGCCAACTAGCAAAAAAGAAACACAAGCTTTCCTAGGCCTTATGGGATTCTGGAGAATGCGTGTTCCAGGTTATAGTCAGCTTGCGAGTCCTCTATATTGAGTGACTCAGAAGAGAAACTATTTCGAGTGGGGCCCTGAGCAACAACAGGCCTTTGAACAAATCAAACAAGAAATAGCTTGTGCAGTAGCCCTTGGGCCTGTCCATACCAGACCAGCTGTGCAAAACATACTGTACACTGCAGCTGAGAAGCATGGCCAAATCTGGAGCCTCTGGCAGAAAACCCCAGAAGAAACTCGAGGTTGACCTCTGGGTTTCTGGAGCTGGAGCTATTGAGGATCAGAAGCCAGTTACACCCCAATTGAAAAAAGAGATACTAATGGCACATGAGGGTGTTGAAGCTGCTTCAGAAGTTGTGGGTACAGAAGCACAGCTCCTCTTGGCACCACAGCTACCTGCGTTACATTGGATGTTCAAAGGAAAATTCCCACTACACACCATGTGACTGACACTACGTGGAGTAAGTGGATAGCATTAATTACACAGTGGGCTCAAATGGAAAAACCTAACCACCAAGGAATCCTGGAAGAGATCATGGGCTGGCAAGAAGGCAGAGATTTCGGAGTGCTGACAGAAGAGATAACCCGTGCTGAAGAGGCACACATGAATGAGGTGCCAGAAGACAGAAAGCAGTATGTGTTGTTCACTGACGGATCCTGCTGTGTGGTAGGGAGCCATCAGAAATGGAAAGCTGCAGGCTCCAGAACAGCCCTCAAAATTGTGCTGTCCTCATAACCAAATTAATAGATCATCAAAACCAGCCTGTGGCTGACATACAGGTTAAATAGATGGGAGAGAGAAGATAAGCAAAAGACAGCTGCAGAAAACTAGAGTGAATTCAAAGTGACAAAGAGAATATGCCACTTGAGCTCAAATTCAAAGCACAGAACTTAGAAGAACAGGAAATTATAAATGACTGGGCAGCTTGAAGGATTGTTTCCTGATTGCTTGTGTCCCCCATCTGCTCAGGGCTGACTGATGGATAAAAAAATCCTGAGGGTAGATGTTGACAAGTTCAGCCAACAGTCAGGATCTAAGCAATTGTTTGTTTTGTTTTCTTTGTGTGTTTTTTGTTTCTTTCTTTCTTTTTCAGAAACAGAAAAAAATGGATGAAAGAATGGGAAGTAACTTTATAATACTAGATCCCAGTTAAGTTATTTCTGAATATATCTTACTTTATCTCTTTCAACCAACGTGTTTTTTGGATTCTCTGCTGTGCTCAGTCATTCTTATAGTCTGGTGTTTTGTTTTGTAGGCTTCTTCTGTTGTCATTGAAGTTTTCACAGCCTTTCTCAGAGATACAGACCAGTAATTCTGCCCCAAGGATGCAATTCAGTTAGAATTACATAGGTAGCTTAAGTAAGAATATTAAAGAGTACATTTGCTTTCCAAACCCATGTTTATAGCTACAGAAATGCACCTGACCATTTCCAAATACTGGAGGTGGCAAATATAAAGCAACTTCAGCTCCATCTTAAGACCTCTAATTTTTCACTGGCAGCATTAGTATTGCTAGTAAATTTTATATGTGTGACAAAAGGAGGACAATCCAGCCCAGAATTCAGATGTAGTATTTAAGTATCACCATGCAATCTGTAACAGTCATGCTGAAATTAATTTAGCCAGGAACATTTTAGAGCCATTTTTGTTCATTTCATAGTCTCTGAATTATTATAATTAAACACTGTAAATAGCTATCAGACAGAGCATTTGTGATTGTTAGTCCAGACAGAATGCTTAAAAGACCTGGCAATAATGAGAAATCAGTGAGTTGGTTTCAATAGCAAAATCAGTTTTCTGTCTCTTTTTAACCATAATTGATTAATAGGAAATACATACTTCTTTGGAACAGAAGTTTGAAAACAGTTCTTAATTTCATGTGTCTTGATGCTCGTGTGCTCATTCTTAAGTCCCTCTGCTTTCACATAGCTCAAATGTTATCAAACATGCCCCAGGATAGGCACTAAAATGGAAGTACATGAGTTTGCAAAGGTCTTTAGGAAACACAAACCTTTACCTTCATGTCATATTTGTACTATTGTAAAGACCATATGGTTTCTACTGTAATTGCCTCCTTTAGGAGCATGTGTTTTACAAACACACTTGTAGAGCTGTATTCATATCACGTACTTTTGTATTCAAAACAGACACAGACACCTGTTGGTGAGAGAGCTGAGTAAATAACATAACCCACTGCCCATCTGAGAAGTGCCTGGGCTCTTTAAACATGCCAAAGAGAATATGCCAGCATTCAGATCTGCTACTATGTGTGACTCACCTTGGCATCAAGATTATTTTCAACACCAACTGTTGAGAAAGCCAGGTAGCCTGTGGTCTGAATTACCCATGCTTCTCATATACAGACAAGTAAATCATGATAGTTAAGAGTAGGTTGAAGTCATAATTCAAGCTTCAAAATCTTTGATCTGCTACAAGGTTGTTAATGATTTTGATGTCTCTCATGCATATGTAGCACTTCAGGGAGGCAGGGGGAATGGTAATGCTCTGAATACATGAGTTCAAAGTTTCTTGTCAAAGCAGTGAGAATTAAACAAAAGATTCATATGCTTACAGAAGTAACTAGCAGAGTGTCTAACCCATGTACTAAATAGCATGTAATAATTTGTCTCTTGATCATGGCAAAGAGTTTTTTGGTTTTATACCTTCTTTACATTCAGATTTGCGTGACTTCGGAAAAGGAACACGACGGCTTTATCAAAGTATACAGTGGGAAGAAGAAAGGTTTTGTCCCCATAGACATCTTAGAAAACATCTGATTTCAACAGCCCACTTGCTGCAGCAGGAACTCTTTGTTGGCAATGCCTGTCTGCCTCATCTCACACTGTGTCAACCCAGATGGGCTGTCTTGCAGATGTTCAGGGAAATTGTGAGAAAACTGCAACTACAAGAAGAAAAAGACATTTAGACTGCCACAGCAACACTAAGAAATAAGAAAAGTGGAATGATTGGAAGAAAACATAGTCAGAAAACAGCAGGAAAATTAGAGGTCCTTGGAAACTAACAGGAATATGGTAAGAAAAGGATTTCTGATTTCTAGTGCAAGATGGCTGTTATGACCCTTATGGAGACAGACAGCTGCTCTGAACAACTAAACTCGTGTCCTGTTCTTGTGTCATAGGTAACTGTTGGGCAGCTTACCTTTTTGAGGTGTGTATTTGGGGGGAGGGGGAAAAATACCATTCAAACTGTCCTCATACTTCGGTCCAATGCTTGTAATAAAGTGTGGCTGTGGTTCTACAGTTTTGTCCCCAGTATCAACCAATCAGTTTAAGCGTTTAATCCTGATTTTTGTCTCATAACAAAGCAGTTTGGAGTCACCATGTTAACGTCAGACCAAGAAATGCACTGTGCCCTGGGGTTCGGCAGCTTACTCTTTCTGTGCCATCTTACCACACAAAACAGTAGCAACCCTTGTGTATCCTTTTTTTTCTCTGTATACAAACAAAATCTCTCAGCCTGCATCAGGTGTGATGACTGCTCTCATAGGTCACAAAAATAGCCGGTCATCCAATTCAGAAGCCTGCTTGGAAGTGTCTCTCCATGTTTCCTGAACCTTTATCTGGTAAGACAGAAAATGGGAAAAAAATGCCAGGAGAGAGACACAGTCTTGAAATGTTTTATATTTTTCTGTGTTTATTGCACTTAAAATATTTTATATATTAATCTTATTTGTAAAAAATCAGACAGCTAACTGACCCACTGGAAGACCAAAAATGGTAGGAAAGGACAGACTGCACATAGAAGTGAAGTCCGTAATTACCAAAATGCAAAACTCATGACAGAAAGGCACAGAGTGTCTTAGCATTTTCTTTACCCATCAAGGCCATATTTTTCATTTGCTAAAACAGAAGTTTTGTGGATTCAGCAGTAAATACACTGACATAAATTCCACTTTGGCATAAACCACCGGAAGCCTCCCATAAATCCTTTCAGTCTCAGTGAGACAGTGCAGCCAGGTCTGGTCTGCTGCATAAGCCTCCACCTTCAAATATGTTTTGGGCATATGAACATTTTGGTACCCAGAGGGCAGCCCATGGGATCCATGGATCTTGGCCAAATTACACAGGTCAGCCGGTGCCAATCCTGTTGTAGATCAGGGGCCTTCTGATCTTTCAAGACAGGGAACCTAATTTAATTGTACCAAATATATTTAAACTGCCTAGCATGTATTATGACATAGACATTAAATCCAATCCCAAAGCTCCCTGCTGAATTCATGCCTTATTTGACCAGTTTGATACTGAATGCCAGTCTTTAACACTACTGTAATTGGCCCATAATGAATGCCCTAAATGCCAATACTGCAGAAAGAAATCCAGATGCTGCCAGGTTTGTAAAAGCCTTTTTGCAAAGTTGACACAATTTCTAAAAAGATGCTGTCAGTCTGCTTCCAGTTTGAATCTGTGTTGCACAGCTCAAGTCTCATAGTTGGGTTGCCCTAGTTGGACAGCTGATCTTATGCAAAGCCTTAAGAAATCCAGTGCAATGCTACACATGACCAGAAGCTCACATGGTAGATCAAGCTGCAGTCACTCAGAGACATATTTTGCAGCTCTTACATGTCACTTAATTGCAGAGGAAGGAGTTACAGGGCTGTTTACTGTTGAAACGTTGTCTTTTGTAGTGCAAATGGTCTACTCTGATAATTCATGTCCTTCTGGGTGATCAAAAGTATCTGATTTCGTATCGTCTGTGAGAATATCAGCAATTTATAAATGGCTTTTCTTCAGTGCAAACAATGAATGTTTGCTCAGCTCATTTTCCAAAGTACCAGTAAACTCAGTGGGAGGACAGAGGATTCTGATAAGCCTTAAAGATCAAGAGGAAAGCAGTAGAGACATGTTAATCCACTCTGCTTTATAAGATTTTATATATACATATATATATATATTCACTAGTTCAAAGGAAAAAAAATCAAGTATTTGTTAGAATTGAAATATCTGCTATTTTTGATCAGGCCTATAAAGTAGGCAAAGGAAATCTGTATTAACTTATACATATGTGCTATTGTTTACATGATTGCATCATACTGTGAGTCCCTATTTGAGTCTTCTATCATTTCAATTTATCCCTACAATGTTCATCATACTATTCTAAGAATGATACGAGTATTACCTACAACTCACAATGGCCTTTAATTAATGTCAGTTCGATTCCTTTTGATACTGAGCAATAAGTAATAAAGTGATTGAGTAAAACAAAACAAACCTTATGTGGACTGTATTACATCTGAGCAAGCATTGATTCAGAACCAAAGCTTTCATGGTTATCTTTTCTTTGTATATTTTGTTTTTTCTTTTTACTGAGTTTTTGTTGCTGTTTGATATGGAGACATAATTTATGCCTAATTTAGCAAGAAACACATACATGAGTCTTACTTTAAGCATGTGATTCATTGGTTATTTTTATGCTTAAAGTTGAAGCACTTTGATGAATTAAAGGCATTTTCCTCAAGTTAATTTTGGATGCCTTACTCTGAATCCAGAAGAGTATCACATTCTTTTTTTCCTACCATATGCAGTTTGCAATAGATACTGAATTAGCAAGCACTTAAAAGTCAGACAGAAGATGGAATGGACTTTATATGACATTTGCTCAGAAAATTTGAACTTTAGGAGATGAATGCTGTTAACATTTAATTTAATATTCTGCTTAATAAAGAATACTCAATGGTTGGAAGGAGAATAGAAGTGTATGTTTCTTGGTTTCTTTGCATCAACCTCTACCATTTTCAGTTAGCCACCTTCAAGAGCATTTAGGAAAATCATCAGCAACAGACATTACTGAGCATTGCCGTTTAAAACTACAGCTCTTGCTTTTGCCATATTTAGCAAACCATTTCTAAATATTTCTTCTGTAAAGTACGTAGTATGTGTAGACTGCATACATGAAGTTTTGTGTTGGAGCTATCCTAAATTTTGTTTCTGGCAGATCAGAACATATTTTAAGCCATTCCACATCACATCACAGCATAAAACTGGCTACAGAATATTTTCAAAGTGCTAGGGGGACTTGACCAACATGAGTTGAGCATGAACTGCCTGAGTCATGATTTACTCCCATCCATAAACAACAGTTTATCTCAGTGTAATATCATCTTGCTCTACACCTGACCACTTTGAATCAGTGACTTACTTCAGCAACAGATGCTGCAGTACGTGTTCAGCTGCAAACTCATTGCACTGGTGAACAAGACACTTATTCCCACAAACACTGTGTGCCTTTAACATTGCCTACAGGCCTTTTTGCTGTAATTATTGGTTGAGGTTCAATTAACTAGGTATAGCACCAAGTGCCATTATAGACTGAGGAGCCTACACAGGAATCATGGAGTCACAGAATCACAAAATGATATGGGTTGGAAGTGACCTTAAAGACCATCTAAATCCAATCCCCTGCCAAACCAGGTTGCTCAAAGCTCCATCCAGCCTGGCAATGAACACCAAAAGGGATGGGGCATCCACAGCAACCTGTGCCAGTGCCTCACAACCCCCTGAGTAAAGAATTCATTCCTAATATCTTATCTAAATCTACCCTTTTTAGCTTAAAGCCATTACTCTCTATTCTTTCACTACATTCCCTGACAAAGAGTCCCTCACCAGCTGTCCTGTAGCCCCCTTTAGGTTCTTGAAGGCTGCTATAATGTCTCCCCAGAGCCTTCTCCAGGCTGAAAAAAAACAACTCCCTCAGCTTGTCTTCATAGATGAGGTGCTTCAGCCCTCTGATCATCCTAGTGGACTACTCTGGATTCACTCTAATACAGCCATGTCCTTCTTTTGCTGGAGGCCCCAGAGCTGAATGCAGTGGTCCAGGTGGGGTCTCACAAGAGCAAAACAGAGGGGAACAATCACATCCCTCACCCTGCTGGCCATGCTTCTTTTGATGCAGCCCAGGATACAGTTGGCTTTCGAGGCTGCAAGCACACATTGCCCACTCGTGTTGAGATTCTTAACAACTGTTCTCCCCATCCAGCCTGTGATTGTGCTTGGGATTGCTTTGGCCCAGATGCAGGACCTCGCACTTGGCCTTGTTGAACTTCATGATGTTCGCATAGGCCCACCTCTCAAGCCTGTTAAGGTTTCTCTTTTCCCTCCAGCATGCCAACCACACCACACAGCTTGATGTCACAGGCAAACTTGCTGAGGGTGCACTCAATCCCACTGTCCGTTTCACCAAGAAAGACGTTAAACAGCATCAGTCCCAATATTGACACCACTCATTATTGATCTCCACCTGGAGTCACTGACCATAACTCCTTGAGTGCAACCGTCCAGACAATTCCTTACCCACCAAGTGCTCCATCCATCAAATCCATGTCTATCCAATTTAGAGACAGGGATGTCATGTAGGACAGTGCCAAATGCTTTACACATGTCAGGTAGATGATGTAAGTTGTTCTTCCCTTATCTGCCAACACTGTAACCCTTTTTTAGAAGGCCACCAGATTTGTCAGGCATGATCTGCCATTAGAGAAGACTATCAGGCAGTGACACTGGAGATTTGGAAGAGCTGTGACCTTTTGAAGAAGCCACTGGAAACCATCGGAAACAATGGAACTGGACAGATATATTTAGAGAATGAACCCAACTTGTTTCTTCTAAATGTATGCAGACAAGTCTGATTTATTGAGCACTCAAATTACATCTTTCTTTCCCTAAAGGATACTGAATAAATGCAGCTAACCATATCAGTCTTGTCTCATTTAAAGTCCACTGTAAAAAGAATCTTTGAATTCCACAGGGACTGGAGTTCATCTATTATCTTGGAAAAGACTGGTTAGTGTTACCATTCTTCCAAAACTCTGTGATGTAATTTATCTGATTTAACTGAAAATGTCTACAAATAAGCTAGTAACTCAATTGTCCTCCACTCCTTCCCCAGAAAAGAGAGTAATGGGCACTTCAGTAGTGTGGTTTATCTGACCTATTGAAGCCTTCTGCTTTTGTCTGAGCCATATTGTGCCTCACAAGTGCCTGTTTCTATTCATTGACACTCCAGGGAGCCTTGGATAGCTGTATCATATGCAGACTTCCGTAGAGGAAAGGTCTATACTAGGACAGACTTCTTAGCCCCAGTTTCCAGATGTGTAGGTGTGGCACATACATGTGCATAACAAATACATGTGACTACAATGCGTCTGTTTGGTGCTTTTTACAATGCTTCCGAAGTTGCTAATTATGATTATTATCAGAAATGAGAAAAAAGAGTGCATTTTTCCTCGTTTTCTCTCTACATAATTTCTTTCACTTGCTGGTGGGCAAGGGCAGCTTTCTAAATATAATATTTTGCATTTAAATAAAAATATAACTTCAATACAGTATTGAACTAATCCTAAGGACATTTTAATTTAAAGTGTTTTAATTAAAAAAACAAAAAAACAAAAACACATGGAGAGTATTAGCCTGGCCCAATCCCTGCCTGCAAGAATAGTGTCTGCCCAGAAATTCTGATAGCAACAGTATCACACAGGCACCAAACCCCTGGGGAGGTAGACTTGCGTATGGTTCATTTTCCATTAATATTTCACAGTGTATCACAGCACTGAAAATTTCACAGCACAAAAGAAAGTGCATGTGTACAACACAGGTCAGTTCCTGTTTAAAAATAATAATAATAGTAATAATAATTAGAGGGGGAAATGTAAATGATATTCCTATGAACACTCCTTTTTATATTTTACTGTATTACAGGTAGAGTCAGAACAACACAAGTGTTTCATTTCTTATTTCAGACATTTCAGAAAAATATAGACTCAAATTATCATCCAGAATGTGTGCACTACATTTTGTAAAGCAGGATGAATACTTCCCCCAGTGGGAATATATGTCATCACAGTGTTGATATTTCCATGGAAAATAAATAAATAAATAAGCATCTGAATCTAAGAGGTACAACAGTGTTGATTTTTAAATCATTCTTTACATAGAAGATTGTTGTGGGAATGAACACTTGGCAGACTCAACATAAAGAGGCCCAGAAAAACTACATTAGGGCTGCTTCAGTTCTGAATGTATGTCCTTTTGCTGAGTGGTTCAAGGAACTCTATTCAACATCTACCCAAATTAACATTACTTGTTCTATCAGATAAGCTGACATTCTTTTCTTGTTTTGTATATATGCATACAGACAATGCATGAACATATAGATAGATAGATATGAATATCTATATATAATTATTCATTACATTTAATAACATCATTCAATAACATCAAGTCAAAGGCAAGAGGACATTTGTCCTGGTTTCAGCTAGGATAGAGTTAATTTTCCTCCTAGTAGCTGGAAGGGTGCTATGTTTTAGATTTAGGATGAGAATAGTTGATAACACACTGATGTTTTAATTGTTGCAGAGCAGTGCTTACCATAAGCCAAGGACTTTTCAGCTTCTCACTCTGTCCTGCCAGAGGGCAGGCTGTGGGTGAAGCAGGGAGGGGACAAACCCAGGACAGCTGACCCAAGCTGGCCAAAGGAGTACTCCATCCTATATGGGGTCATGCTAAACAATATATAGGGGTGGCTAGCCAGGGTGGGAGGGGCAGACTGCTCAGGGATAGGCTGGGTCAGCGGGTGGTGAGCAATTGCATTGTACATCGCTTGTTTTGTATACATTATTAGTAGAAGTACTATGATCATTATTATTATCATTTTCCTTTTCTGTCCTAATAAACTGTCTCTATCTCAACCCACAGGCTTCACTTTTCCTGATTCTCTCCCCCATCCCAGTGAGGGAGGGGGGAAGGTGAGTGAACAGCTCTGTGGTGCTGAGCTGCCAGTCAGGTTAAACCACAACACCATTCCCTTAAAAATCTGTCTCAGCTGATTTCTTCCTTATCTTAACATGCTTAGCACCTGGTTAGGAAAGTAATCAGTGCCCTACAAGTACTGAGACAGACAGCTATATGAACAGAGAAGTTTAGCCCTGACAAGTTTTATCTGTATTATACAAAGCATATAACACATAAACCCAGAGTTGCAGGCAGTTGAACTGCAAATATGCAATACATTGAGCACAGTCAAGATACTCACTGATCTGTAATGTGTGTCATCCATCAAGCAAAGTTAGGACTGTATGCTGCATACAAATGGGCAGACTGAAAACATTGTCAGAGCAACACGTAAATCATACCTCTTTGACCTGTCTGCCTCACAATAATGAGATATTGAAAATAAAGAGTAACTTCTCCTTGGAGGCCTGAAAGAGAGGAAGAGATGGGAGCATTCCTGTGGGCTTCAAATTAACAAAAAAGGGCTAGTCAGTCACATACACACACCATGAAGAAGGCACATAAATTCACCTTTGTTAGAATAAAGTAAATCATCGTCTGAGTAATTACTATGCTACTGACTTGCAGAAAACAGACTCCACAACCTGTAAAGTTGTAAAGTAGGTATGTTTATTTGGTGCTGTGCACACACTCCAGACACAAGGGGAATAGCTCCACCTAATTTGTGCACCAACTGTTACTGGCAGTGTGCTTATGTAAGTGGGACAAATACATATTCATTCCATTTCCCTTAAATCTCTTGTATGTTCATGAGGGTCCACTGCTATGTGACCAAGGATGGAAGGAGAAAACCAGATGCGACCTTATTTTGACTCTTTGGGAGAAGTCTGGGTCCCTAAGGCCCAAGTGTTACATGAGTCATACTAAATACAGGAGGAAAATCTTCAGTGACCAGCCCATTCACATGGTTTAGTACTCTGTGTCAGCATATTTTGCCTCAAGAAATGCGACATGAAAACAAATGTCTCTCATTCTCTTTTGCACTCACTGCACATCCTAATCAGCCACTTCATTGTGTTGTGCTCAGCCTCGCAAAAGGTTCCCCTCTCTGGCTTTTCTCCTCCTGCCAAAGCCAATTCTTCTTGCAGAGATTATCCAAGTGGCAGTGAGACATTCCTCTGCAGGATGCTGGGGCTAGGCTTTTCTGTGTTGGTAGTGTCTCCTAGCAGTTCCCCTGCAGACACAGTTCACACCATAGACACTGATGCCCAAGCAGAAGGAAGGGAAGGAGTGCAATATTCTTCACTAGGGCTTTCATTTTCTGGGCAGTGCCTGGAGCAACTGGAATGCAAAATGCCTGATCTGCAGCTGGGTAGCATCTGGACCCACTGAAAGACCTGTTTCACAGCTGGGTCTGAAGATGGCCAGTGCAGCAATGTGATTTGCAATTCACTCCTCTTGCAAGGTGTAGGGTCAAGATTTTTTTTTTATTTTTTTTGGGGGGGGGGGGGGGTCAGTATTGTACCAAAGGGGTATTTCATACCATCTGACATCATGCTAAACAATATATAGGGGTGGCTAGCCAGGGTGGGAGGGGCAGACTGCTCAGGGCTAGGCTAGGCATCTGTCAGCGAGTGGTGAGTAATTGCATTGTGCATCACTTGTTTCGTACACATTAGTAGTAGTAGTACTATTATCATCACTATTGTTATTATTACTATCATTATTGTTATTATTATTTTTCTGTCTTAATAAACTGTCTTTATCTCAACTCACAGGCTTCGCTTTCCCATTTCTCTCCCCCATCCCAGAGAGGGAGGGGAGAGGGTGAGCAAACGGCTGTGTGATGTTTAGCTGCCAGCCAGGTTAAACCACAGCAACCATATGCTTAGTGGAAATCCAAACACAGATGGGACAAGTGCCTACCCCCACTGTCTTGGGGGCAAGGGAAGGAAGAGCTGTCAGTGCTAATGAGGTACAGAGCAGGTGATGCAATTATCATCTGAGAGCATGAGTAGGATGAGACAGATGTTGCTTTCAGGGTTCATTGCTTTATTAGAGTTACCTGTCAGCCAGTGTGCATGATACCCCCCAGCCACACCAGACACAGCCTGATATAAAACGAGCTGGTATTAGTTAAACCAAAACCCTCTAGGCAATATCAAACCCATTCTCAAGGCTGCCCTTAAACAGAGGATGTCCCAGCAGGAATTGAAAATGAGGCCATAAATCACTCTTAAATAATCATAGAATCATAGAATATCCTGAGTTGGAAGGGACCCTTAAGGATCATCAAGTCCAACTCTTGACACCGCACAGGTCTACCCAAAAGTTCAGACCATGTGATTAAGTGCACAGTCCAATCTCTTCTTAAATTCAGTCAGGCTCGGAGCAGTGACCACTTCCCTGGGGAGCCTGTTCCAGTGTGCAACCACTCTCTCTGTGAAGAACCCCCTCCTGATGTCAAGCCTAAACTTCCCCTGCCTCAGCTTAACCCCGTTCCCGCAGGTCCTGTCGCTGGTGTTAATGGAGAAAAGGTCTCCTGCCTCTCGACACCCCCTTACGAGGAAGTTGTAGACTGTGATGAGGTCTCCCCTCAGCCTCCTCTTCCCCAGGCTGAACAGGCCCAGTGCCCTCAGCCGTTCCTCGTACGTCTTCCCCTCCAGGCCTTTCACCATCTTCGTAGCCCTCCTCTGGACACTCTCCAACAGTTTCATGTCCTTTTTATACTGTGGTGCCCAGAACTGCACACAGTACTCGAGGTGAGGCCGCACCAGCGCAGAGTAGAGCGGGACAATCACCTCCCTCGACCTACTAGCGATGCCGTGCTTGATGCACCCCAGGACACGGTTGGCCCTTCTGGCTGCCAGGGCACACTGCCGGCTCATATTCAACTTGCTGTCTACCACAACCCCCAGATCCCTCTCTTCTAGGCTGCTCTCCAGCGTCTCATCGCCCAGTCTGTACGTGCAGCCAGGGTTTCCCCATCCCAGGTGCAGGACCCGGCACTTGCTCTTATTGAACTTCATGCGGTTGGCAATCGCCCAGCTCTCCAACCTATCCAGATCCCTCTGCAAGGCCTTTCCACCCTCATTCGAGTCCACAACTCCTCGATATAAGGTAATAAGGTAAATACCCTTGCATCCTGAGACACTGTCTCCAAGCTTGAACATCACCACAAGTCCTCCTTCCCAGCCCTGTGCCCCTGTCTTTGCAGCAATCCTAGTATCTATAAAGCCTACACCTGGCTCAGCCCCTCTGGATGTGATGCTGGATTTCACACTTCCTACATGGCCAGGGTTGGATGCAAGCCGTGCCCAGCAACACACATGGGGATGAGGACAGCAGTCACTGGTCGGGACACAGGGACAACCTCTGTCAGTGCTGGTGAATACTTAAGGCAGGGACTCAGCTTTGCATGGAGCTGCAGAGGAATGGTGACTCCATGCTGAGCTTCAGACTGAGTGATATGCTAGTTAACCTGGACTTCAGGATGCTGTAAGAAGGGTTGATGCTTGGGTTGATGCTCAGGTTGATGCTTGCCTGCTCAGATCCAAGTAGTGCTGGTGAACTGCAGTGGAAACGGTATAGGGAGACCTGGGTATGTAAAAAAACACAGTTGTGTGTCACAGTCAGGTACCAGTTGTAAAGCCTTACAAGACAGATCATCATTCAAGTAGGCAAGACAAGTTTGGGAATCCAATTTTGGCTTAAGGAAGATGAATAGAATCAGGAAAACCTTGTAAGTCAAATAAAACTTGTAGGGCCCAAGCACAGGAACAACTCAACATCATTTGATGCCTGGATTAATTTGTGCTACTGGGGGCTGAGAACAAATGGGCAGGAGTGATAAAAATTCATTAGAGAGAATTAGAGCTGCAAAGCACATCAAGAATCTTATACCCAAGCTAGTGCTGGAGTCCAAAGCATTATCACAACACAAACATCTGGCAGTAGCAATTGGTGCTCAGTAAATCACTGTAGACTGAATTAGTTTAGCTCCAAGGCCATACACAGGCAGGTCTGAAATCACACCCATGAAATGCATCACTCCTGCTCTTAGGCTTGGCTGGGTTGTAGGGGGCAATGTAGGACCTTCCTCAAAGGGAGGGAATGTTAACAGTGTCAGCAGACATGAAGGAAATCTCTTTTTTTGCCACCAGTCCAACTTGGCAAGAGAAAAGTACTTTTTCAGTTCTGTCCATTCACTTAAATATTTTTCAGGTAATTAATACTGGGCACCATGGTGTTGCTTGAAGAAGAGTGAAACATTTATTACCCTTCTGGCCTTCCTTCCTGAAATGACTGAGGTGAAAGGAAGGTTAGAAAAAGAGTCTTTTCTAGTTGTCTTATTTCTCTACTGTCTTTCACATTGGTTCCTAGAATGGAAAGTCATTAGTCACCTATCAGGACGTCAGATAAGAGTTGCCTTGGGGTTAGCAGAGATTGGAAAAGATCATTTAAGCATGGCAATTGAAATTAGTAAGATGGGGACAAGCTCTTTGTTTAAAACTAAGTAGCAGGTGATAGTTAACACATTTGGATTGTTATTGAGAAAAATTGAGTGAGGAATATTTGCTGACAAGAAGAAAATAAAAAAATGAGTTATAAGGTAAAAGGAAAAAAAAAAAAAAACAATAAAGGAATCGAGAAAGATGTTTATGGCAATGAGTATATTTATAGATTTAAATTATTCATCTGGCAACCTTTGACTCTGCCTTTCCTCCTAATTATGTTAGCCATGCTGGCACTACACAGACAAAGCAGTTGGAGCTGTAAGTCAGCCACCTTTGAGGCTCCAGAAGAAGGATGCTTCAGACAGTGATTGCATTATGCATCTCTGTGACGAAGTTTTCTATCACAGCTAGGCTCTGGAGTCACCACAGATATATGCCCTAGACTGCTGCAGCTGCAGGGTTGGATGAGCTCTCATTATATATATATTTACTGGTTTTGTGCATCCTGTCTCCCTATCACACCCCAAAATAATGCCTGTGTGGGTATTCCCTTTCTGCTTATCCCGCTTGGTGTGAAAATCCACTATCCGAATGAATAAACTTCTTGCCACCCATTTTTTGGTATCGCAGGGATACCACCCTTTTGATGAAGCATGTTTGCATTGAGGGCATATGATGGAGAGTAACAGACTCCACTGCCTTACTGCTAAGCATTTTCCTTTTCTAGCAAAATGCTGCTCACATGCAATTCACCCTGTCCTTTTGGCACAGTCACCATACATGCCACCATCCTCCTCCTCCTCACATGAGCCTGTGTGTGAAGGAAACCCAAGGAAGCTCCAGTTTCTGCGCTCCTCTCACATTCAATGCAGACTGCCAGCAGTGATTTACTGAGGCAGATGATGTCATCAAAACACCTTCTGGTTTTGACTCATTTCTAAAGGAGGCCAAGGAACTGGGGAAATGGCCTGTTTTGAAGAGTCAACACAACATAACAAAATAATCAGTACAACTGGGAATGTAGCACTGGTGTTTTACAGTGCAAAGCCCATAGTCATAGGAGTCTCTGGGAGATATGATGTGTCCAACACATGACCTTTTAACCACAATCAGTTTTCATATGGCTTACTTCTCCATTAAGCTTGATATATCCTCTGCTAAAGAAATTTGATATCACATACCCACACAAACAATTTCCCTGTGGCATATTCAGAGCTGGAATTTCATCAACATAAACAAAATCTCAAATCAAATGCTTCGGTACCTATAAATTGCAATTTCTATAAAAGAAATTTCATTAGAAAAATGTTAACCTATTCAACAGAGATGGCAATGAGCACTGCCTCTCATACTCAGACCTTGTAAAGCTGCAGTAGGGCTGCAGGATGTCATGGTGCCTATCAGCAGGGTCTGCCATGCTTCACAGTTGAGCCTGTTTGGATTTTCAGCCAAGGTGTAAGTGCACATATTGAAATAATTCCAGAGAGCAGGCAGGATCCCAGTTTGCCACCTGAGCAGCTGTCAAAACAAGCTTTCATCTCAGAGGAAACCTGAAGAAGGGAAAGGTTTCCAGAAGGAAAAATTAATTAAATTTACTGATAATATCAGGTTGCTACAAATTTTTACTCATTGGGAGAAGTGAGGAAACAGGGGTGAAATTACATTTCAAAGACAACCACATGTTCAGAAGTCAAAATTTCTTTTCTGTCTGTTACTGAACAATTCATAGTATTTACACTAGGGCATTGGCACTCAGGACTAAATTTTCAGCTTCTCTATGACCTAAATGTTCATTTCCTAGTGAATTCTCACATCAAATCACGGAAGGCCAGGGCCTTTTGGAAATTACACCTTGGAACAGGCTGCTGTCCTAACGTGAGGGTTTTCAGATAAATTAGCAGCCTCTCATCATCACTCTGCCTTTCACCTTAATCCAAAACAAACTGCTTTGAAAGGATACCCTTTGCTTTGCAATGGCTGGCAAAATAAAAAAGCATTACCGCCTGGAGTTGACAACTGATCCCCATGCCACATGTGTGAAGCATCCAGTCATGACTTTTTCATTCTTGCTGAATAAAAGGCCAATTCTAATAAATCCTTGATGCCTTCTAATCAAAGTTCAATATTTGGTGCAATTTTTTTTTATTTTGCATGAATATCCTGTTAGCTGGAGCTCAGAGACACAGGTTGATCTAAAGCATCAATCTTGCAGAAATTGGAGAAATTCATAATAAGCTCTCAATCATATTTGCAGTGCAAGATTAACACCATTTCTGCATGGCTTGGCTCAGTCAAAGTCCTGAAAGACCAATAACACCCAGAGCAGTTGTGATTAAAGTTCACACACTGGGCTGTCATTTAGTGGACATTGAACTAATTACAGTCCTGCTGGCTTCACAGAAGAACGTCATAAAAGATACCAAAGCTGTTGTAATGCCATGTATTCAAAATACATCTCAAAGAAAATAAATGTTAGGTAGCAACTTTGTTCAGACTGGAAACTTGAAACTAGCTCTGCTGCAGCAGGGCAGATTCAGCTTTCACAAAAACGATACTTTTTTCAGATATGCTGGCTCTAACAATTTTCTTTGCATGCGCTATTACTGCACAGTATATGGGGCATGACTCATGATACATCACAACACAACGTGATAGCTAGGGAAAATTGAACCTCTGAAAACTGAGATTAAAGTGGGAAAGCCAGAGGAATAAATAATACAATAGACAGATAGGGCTAGAGCATACAAATTAGATGTCTCAGAGCAAGATTGGGCCTGTCATGTAGTCTTTGGTAATGGGCAATGGACACGCTTTATCTTCCTAGCATCCTAAGGGAACAGTGAGATAATTTAAAAAGTGAAGTGCAAGGCTGTCTGCTACCAAATCAAGGTGTGCTGGTACCTGAGGGTCAGAGATTTAAGTGTTTCCCAGCATTGCCTTGTTTTCAGTCCCCTGATAACTCAGGGTAATAATAATGGCAGGCAACCGCACCTCAATAATATAACTTGATCATGGAGTACACTTTCCTTTGGCAATTGCCAAAGGAAAAGTCTGGGGTGAAATGCTGTAGATGTGCCATGCAGCCCCGGAGCATTTAATACATCAGCTGAACCAGGAGTTACAACTGAATCCAGGGCAGACCAAAGCAATGCTGTAAGCGAGTGAGAAACTTATGGAGAACTTTGCACTAGTTGTACCCACAATTAGATGAGCTGAGTGTAATACATACATCTACCAGGACTTGCTCATGCAGGAGGGAACAACCTGGGGCCATTAGCCAGCCCAGTCCTGCTCACCTGCAAGGACACCTGCAGCACCTCCCCTTTCATCCAGATCTAAGAAAAGCACATGTACTCCTCATATTCAGTTGCATCCACATACCTTCTTCCACCCGCTGGAATGAGCTGATGGGCCATGGCAGGAATTACAGCAGTGTTTTCAGGAGATGCCAGTTAGGTTTTTTGGTCCTGTCTGTGTTTTCTCAGCATCATCAGGGCAAAAAACAGCACCCACTGATTCAAACCATCTTTCCTGCAGGAGCACCACTCCAACAGCAAGGTCCACTTGGGCTAAAACAAACAGATGCAGCACAATTACACACAAATACACACAATTAGAGATTCAATAGAGCAGCACCTCCCACTTTTCCTACATTTACACATGCCACAAAATTCATGCAGACCAAACCATGTTCAGGTAGGTCCTGACTCCGTGTAGCTTATCATATGTTTGAATACTGTTACTAGGAGGAGCTTCTCCCACATGGCCTCTGTCATTCCCTAAACTCCCCATCACAGCTTCCCCACAGCCTTTGCCCCACGGATACCCTCAACATCTTGCCCAAAATTCTAACATATCTCTGCAAACTTCAGTTTGGTTTAAGGAAAAGTCTGATCCTCCCAGTGTTCCCTATGCCTCCATGTGTACAAATGCATGGGCACAGCATAGTGCTTGAGCAGAGCAGAACACACCACTACCTCTGCTGCTTCCTTTTGAGTACACGAGATGGTAAGTCTGGCAACTGGAAGGAAAACAAAGAGGGGACAGAGGAGATATCAGTGAGCAAAGAGAAAGAATAGTCCTCTAAAATCTCTTGCTGCTGCTCTTGGTCTGCAGATAAACACACATATATAAGTTAATTACTGTTTGTTTCTTTGTTGTTGTTTTTTCCCCAAATTGACTGTCTCTCAGTAGTAAGATGCAGCAGCTGACATAATAAAAGGCTGGATGGTTTCGAATTAAATTAAAAGAAGATAATAACTTCATAATGGCTTTTCCAGAACATAGGTGTCCTTCCAGCAAAAGATAATCTGACATTATTATAAGTGCTGTTCGGTATTCACACCCAAATTACCACACCATTTCAAGCAAAAAGCCATGCAACTCATGTATTTTTTGTCATTCATAGACATATAGCCTTGCACAGAGCATGCCAGCTGCCCTTTTGTTTTGCCTTGCTTTCAATAGTCAGAGGGAAGTTACCAAAACACTTGTCAGAAATGCTGAGGTGCATGTGCACAGGGAAGTTATTTTGTATTGGCCCACCTGACAGATGTCTTTTGTTGAATAAATGCCACCAAAAAGATTGTGTCCTTCTTTGCATGAGTACATACAGCACTTCAGCACTGATCACCAGCAGTACCCATGAAACAAATGGGTAAAAAGTAACACCAGCAGCAGTCACTGTTTTCCTGATGTTGGAAATCACAAAGGAATCCCAGAGGAGTAAGTTAAATGTCTAGACACCATCCTTATTTTTAAATGATGGCCTTCATCCCTGCTGAACTGATACTAAGGAAGAGGTTAAACAAAATGGATTAAGAATAATTTTTTAAAATGTGATAGAGGAGGGAGAGAAGGAAGTGACAGGAGGTGATGCACTTGGTAGAAGAACAAACGCTTCAAGACGATGAGAGACACATGAATGAAACATGATCAGTAATAACCAGAAGAAAGTTTTATATTGAATAATTGAATGCCTACATATGCATTCATTTAAAAAAATAAAAAAAGACACTGGATCCCATGAAGTGCATGTATACCCCTCTCAGGAGATCCTACAGCCAGGGCAAGTATGTTGCTGTATCAAGTTTCCAAGTCACTTCTGTGTAAGGTGGTATCTTCTGGGCAAAAGAATACTAGCCCAAAAGTATGCTGGCACCATCGTATCCTGACCACCATCTACAGAGGGAGTCTACTGCAATGACGCAAAACCTGTCCTTTGGCTAAATGCACTCCCTGGTTTTGTGATAAAGTCAGTAATTGCTGATATTAAAAACCAGAAAGAGAAACTGAAACCATTAGAAATTGATATGGAGTAAATCATACTGCGTAAAGAGTTGATTCTAGATATTTCCTTAATGTGTTTAGTTTTCCCTTTCCCTTTTTTTTTTTTTTCTTTTTTTCTTTTCCTCTACACATGAAAAAATTGAGGTTATGCTGAAGATACCAGGGAAAGGTCTAGGACTGTCAGTGCCAGGAGAGAGGAGTTTTCAGGGTACGTACAGAACAGCAGAAATTGCATTAACAACAGCTAATGTTGATGCTGAGGTTTCAGTTCAGTACTAGACAAACACACTTTCACTTGTTTGGAAAGACATGGTAAAAGGTACTTCTCACATAAGAGTGATGAAATCCTTTTCAACCACCACAAAGAAAAAGAAAAAAAAAAAAAAAAAAAAAAGATGTCAGCAGATCTGATTTCACTCCTGGTAAAGAATATGAGTTGGGTTCAACAGTTTTGTTGCACAGTAGTTACAGAAAGCCTTCACAAAGTATTCGGCACAGTGCTATCAAGTGCACCAAGAAACAGCACTGTCTGTTCCTAATAAATAATACAGTAAACTGGTAGTTTGGAAAATCAACAGCCAGGGGAGAGTCCTTCCTTTGAGAAATGTTCCTGGTGAGTTCTGCTGCACAGCCCTGTTCTAATCTGAACGCTCTCTGCACCAGAACCTGCAGATGCAAGCTCTGTCCCAGACAGATAAACAGAAACATTTTCCTCTGAGACAGGGAAGCCACAGACCGTCAGGTCAGGATAGTTGCATCCTGAGAAGTACTAAAATGGAGTTAAGCTACACAGGTTTTCTACACAGCACAAAAGAAGCTTCAGTGGGATGCTGTAGGGATTTACCAACAAAAGAGGTCACATGCAGGCAACAAAGATAAGAAGAACATGAGCTACAGAAGTTGTCACAATTTAGGCACTGGGAAAAAAAGATACCAGAGGTGTTAAAAATGACTTCTAGACATTCAGAAGCTTGTCAAAAGGAGAATAGTTTCTGAGTAATCTGGTCATTTACTGTTATTACTTTCAGAGAGCAAGGCCAAGGCCAGTGAGATGTTCTTTAGTCCATACAGACATAAAAAAGCACCAAGGACTCAAAGATGAATGAGACAAATTCAAACCAAAAATAAAGCTTACGTTTTGAGGAGCAAGGGTATCAGAACAGATAGAGGAAATACTAGAAGATTGGCAGAATTTCCACGTGACAAAGAAATGACTAAGAAAATTACTTTTATCTAACACTGAAGCTACTAGCCCCAAGATAAAAGTAACCTTGCAAAACCATGAGAAGAGAAAAAAAAAAAAAATGGGGGGGGGAAAGGGGGTGGAAGGAGAGGTGAAATGTGGGAGGTGATGTAAGGGTCGCTTCTGAAACTGAACTCAAACTCTCTCAGCTGCTGTTGAAAAAACATCATTATTAACCTGAAATATAAAGTGGGAATGAATCACTGAAAGTATTTGAGAGACCTTTAATTATAAGTATCCTTGCACTAAGTTATTGGATGCACTTCAGAGAAACAAAATGGAGCAATTGCGCTATCCAGGAACAAGAAGCATAAATGCTTTTAAGCCTTAAAAACAATACTTACTTTTTCAAAAAGCATTGCCCAAGTGTTTGCAGTGTTAATCGGAGTTTTCAGTTGTCTAATCACCATTAATTTCAAGCTCGAAACCTGCTACTAGTCAGCCAGCCACTAGGAAGGGTGAGGGGAGGAGGGGAAGATTTTGATGTCACAGCAACCCTAACGAAGCCAGAGGAGTCACAATAATGCAAAACACATGGGAAGGCATGTTCTGCCTCAGGGGGTTGTACCCATGCCAACGTGACTGACACAAAATCAAAGAGGTGTGAGGACCAGCCCTCTGTGCAGAGTCACCTGTTCAGCCAGCTCTGCAGTAAGCAAAGGGCTTCCCCAAAACTAGCTCTCACAGATGGCAAGCAGCAACAGGCCCTTGCAAAAGTGGCATGTAAGTAAAGTCCCAGGAACTGATCCAATAGCCACTTGTACCCTCAGGAGCTGGTTTTACAGAGGAAAAGACCATTTTCCTCCATTGCCCTTTTCCTCCACAGGCAGGTTCCCTTTATGGCCAGCCCTGTGACTACCCCTGGAGGCGTAGCCACAGAGACTCTGCTGCCGATATGAACAGATGTAGGCCTGCAGCAGCAGCAGGGGACAAGGGGAAAATGGTCACCATTGGTCAGGTGTGTTCACATGTTTCTGTCACTGCTATTACGTGTGCCCTGAGTAACCCATGCATGAGTGAGACTAAAATTGGGATTGTACCAGTATATTAACTTTGCTGTTACATTTTGCAATCCCAAATATAAATGACCGCACAGAAAAGCTGATCTGTGCTAAAGGAGCTACCACAGACTTAATCTTTTAGCTTAGGGAGACAGGCGTGAAGAAGCATGGCCTTAATTTTTACAGAGATACACTGGGGGGAGGGGATACGACTGAAAAAAAATATTAAAGAATTACACCATGAAGTCCTATCTGTTTCTTAAAGTTGGACAAGCTTGTTACGTACTCATTAGCCACATATATTTTTATGTCCCTGGTGTGAGCCAAAGACATGCTGGTGTGTATCTGCTGAAAATGACAGAGAACATTCCTGATGAGTGCTTTGAAAACAGATTTCCCCTTTGCTACAGAACTATGTAATCTTTTAACATGATCCTGGGAATTATCCTTTTTCCAGTACCCCATTTGACTTTGTTGTTGATGTCATGGAAAAAAAGCAGCAACTTGTTTACCAGAGCATTCTATTTCTTATCAGCAGATCTGGCTATGAATAATTATACCACATATTAATACCATAGTAAGCCAGCTAATGGGCTACAGATGCCTAACAAATAACAGGATGGGAGAATAAAGGGCAGATTGGCAGGAGGCTGTTTGCCTTTGCGAGGGTTGAATTATAGAACTGGCCAGGCTTCAAAACTATGAATCATTAAGAACATGCACACAGCAGTTTTACATCAGTGAGCTCTATTGACTGTAGAGGAGCTAATATTGATCTACGAAACATATGGGAGTGGGGAAGCAGGTCCCACATGGTTAAAAATGTTGTATTTTAATGCCTGTCCTTTGGATTGTGTTGGTTCCTTGAAACGCCCACACATTTCTGACATCATGACCAGACCTTTATCCAAAGCCTTTAAAATGATAGCTGTTTCCTTTCAGGTTCACAGTGGCAGAAATCTTTGAAATATGACTAAAAAAATATGAATGCAAGTTGCCATGCTAATAATTTCTTCTATCTACCTTGCCACATTAGCTGTTTGTAGTACCTATACTAATGTTCATATATAGAGAGATATTTCTAAATATAAAAAAGGATGGAATTAACTTGCCTTTCAGTATTAGCTAGAATTTATCTTCATTTGTGCAAATGGGTTGAAAATATTGCCTCACTGTTCTGCAGACATAACTGTAGTAAACTACAACATTAGCAGCAAGAAGGCAGCAGATTTTGCATCAAAGACCATCAAGTTGTGCTGATACCAGGGAAAGAAAATCTGACTATGACTGCTTTTCTACCCATAAATTCACTTCATGGCACTTAGAGATGCTAGACTACCATCAATCAAACTGCGACCACATGTGTTTTCATAGGTGTATGCTATTGTATATTTGCATAGAAATGACACAATTTGCATCCTAGCAAACAGTAGGTAAATACCTACTGGGATATTAACGTGATTTTTCTTCAGATCCACAATTAATGCTGCTCTGTGTACATGGAACATTATAAAATATTTGCATCTGTGACTGAATCTTAACATTTTCTTGACTTTGTCATAGGAACGCTCAGCAGCATGGTTTCCCTTGCCCAGTGACCTGTCTCTGACATCCTTCCACTTTGCTTTTCCAGGTATCACAGACATATACCTGTCACAGTGAGAACGCGCCTGGAAATATTGGAAGCTGAGCACAGTCCTCTTCTTTGAATCCAACAAGCGGGCACACATTCACTTAATAGTCCTGGCAGCCCCCATTAGCAATAATCAGACCTGCAGCCTGTCAACATATAGAAAAGTGTCTCTCTGTTGGATAGGGTTACATGAAATGCAAGACATTCTTCAATGCAGGCACTGATTTTCCATCTCTCCACTGTAAAGAGGCAGTGAGTGTGTGATGCACGTCCGTTTCAAGGCAAAGTCTGTTTGCAATGTGACCTCCATGCCTTGTGGCTTGTGCACTGGTAAACAAGCCAAGCATGATGGAAATCTACCATTTCAGGTTTGGCTATTGAAAAACAAGGATATGTGTGACTTATTTTTCAGCTGTTTATGAAGCAGATGAACAAGGCAAGGGATCTTACATTTTTCCTGTTACTCCAATCCTCCTCATGGAAAACCTGAGCTGTGGCCCATTGTGACACTTTTCCTTCACTTTTATGTAAAAGAAAGAATGGGAGAGAGACCAAAGGAAATTAAATGGAAATAAAATGATGTCCCAAATGATCAAGACACTGAAAAAATTCAAACCCAGCAACTCACCTTGAATTCCCCAAGTATCTGATTCCCTGGACTCTTGTAGGGAGCCAAACTCCATTCCTTACCATGGGGTAAAACATTACTGGCTTCTTCTCCTTTAAAGAAAGTATACTGTGTACTCAGTGGTTTAAAATGATGAAGAACACACAGATATTTGCTCTATGATTAATCTTTACATGCAAGATCTCAGGGAGCAAACAGCTTAGAGCGGACGGGCTGCATGCTTTTTGCACTACGCTTTTTAAAAATGTGGTCACACCCAAACCGTAGGTCAAATTGTATCTTTTTTCCCTTAAAGTGTTCTTTGAAACAGATGAGATCACTGACAATATAAACTAGTGCAGAATATATTAGATATTTACAATATATCTATGTGCTGTCAAGAAATTATTTCACCATAGAGAGGAGAGTATGAGCTAATGCAAAAAGACTGGCATGGCAAAAGACTTCATTTAATATCGTGTATTTAAAATGACTATTTTATTACACTCTTCTAAATGAAAACCAGTCTCTCTGACTGCAGTTGACCTCCACCTGCATAAATGAGAAGAAAATCTGGCTTACAGAGCAAGGGATTAAGAGGGGAGGGGAGGGGAGGGGAGGGGAGGGGAGGGGAGGGGAGGGAAAAATTATTTCCTTCCCATAAGCTGTAAATACTTGACTCTTAAGTACACTTGGCAGCTTTCAATAACTGAAAGTTATTTGTGGTACTTACACAACAATTATATTCACACTTTTTGGTTTATGATATATATTTGACCTATTATTCAAAAAGTTTGTTTAAAAAGCAGTCCTTGGTCTAGTGGGAATTAAATTCTTTTGCATGGGGTTTCTAATGATTCTAATTGTTATTGTACCTAATTCTATTATATATTCTGTATCTATTCTAGTATCTATTAACTGTTCTCCCTTTTGATTCCATATTCTCTAGCTCAGATGAAATTCAGATAAAGCTTCCAGACTGGCTGTTCCCAGGCACTGTGGTTACTGGATTTAAACCACTACCCTGTGTTGTACTTCCTCAGTTTAATGGGTCTTGCACCTGCTGAAACTGAAGCAATTGCTGGAGGAAGCCAAGCAAGGCTGATAGGAGAAGGAAACTTGCTTTGCCTGGGACTGAGTTATACTCTGCCACAGTCCCTTGGCTTGCTAGAAGAGAAGAGCTGACCTGCAGGAATGGTGAGCAGAAACCAGAAGAGAGAAGACCTCCTCTGTTTCACAGTGCAAGACAATGCAGTGCTTTGATAACCACAGGGATGGACAAGACTCACTTTAAAAGGAGTACTCTCCCATCAGTCAATTTATTCAATACTGTTTGAAGTAATACTGTCAAGTGAAATAATATATCCCCACCTCCCCTTTTCACACTGATCCTGCGCTCTACTTAGAGCTTGGGTTTCAAAGTTCCTCATCCGTTCCCTGAACATAGAGCTAATTCCATTGGACAGATGACAGACCACATTACTCAGAGTAACACTAGCAAACCCAGCAAATTAACTGAGGCTGACATAACTTCACAGTCCCCATTTCAATGAGACATTGAAGTTAAAACCCTCTTCAGTTGTTGTTCTCTAGTCCATCCCCACCTTCCAAAACTATTTGGACCAAGAAAGGGGCTACAGATGGAGATCACTATCAATAAAATTGAATTTTCAGGAGCAAGAGCTATTCTGCTAACATCTTAATGGGGGACTTTGGTTGCCTGTACTATTTTTCTTTAATAGAAAAAAATACTTGGAATTGGAATAGAGATCTGATCACAGCAACTGAACTGAAAGTAGGAACCTATATAGTAAGTATTCATGTGGCATTATCCATAGTAGAAGCAAATATATTGCTGCTATTTGAATTAATGACAAGAAAACAACAACAACAACAACCAAACTTAAAGGTGATCCCCCCAAGGCAAAGGATGTACAGTGTTTTTTAAAACTACCAGAAAATGCTCTCTCTCCCCAGCCTCATTTTAAGACTAGTTCAAACTGTTAATAAGATAAATACTCATCTTTTTTTTTTTTGTGTTCTTTTTCCTTCCTCTACCACCTACTTCTCCTATTTTTACCTTGCTAGGTAGAATTATTGTAATATAGGCTCATTATATCGTACATTGGGCTCAATTTTAAATGCCTAATAAGAAATCCTCACTTACTCATGTACCCCTATTAACTCAATGGAACTATTTGTGTGTGAATTATTTACATAATTAAGGTTGTGCTACAAGATGTGGAGCTGACTTAGCAGCGTGTTCTGTGTATTCAATAATTTCTATTAACATTTTTATTAACCAAGTCAGTATGTCTAGATGTATAATAATTGCTGTTAGTCCATTGCCTTCCAATAAACAAGGGAGGCAGGTCTACCATTACAATAACAATAAAGCAAGTCTCAGAAAAAAGAAAGAAAAAGAAAAAAAAAAGTATGGAAAGGAAGGATGACACCATGCAAAAGACATACTAAGAAGAGTAGATGGAAGGGAATACCAAGAAAAATGTATGGACAATGGCAAGAGACTGTTGTGGTTTGACCCAGTAGGCAGCTAAGCATGACACAGCCATTCACTCACTTCTCTCCCTCCCCCTCAGTGGGATGAGGAGAGAATCAGGGCGAAAAAAAGCTAAAAGCTCATGGCTTGAGAAAAAGACAGTTCAATTGGACAGAAATGGAAGGGAAAATAATAAAATAATATACAAAGCAAGTGATGCACAATGCAATTGCTCGCTATCCACTGACTGATGTTCATTGCATCTCCAAGCAGCACCACCACCATAAGGTGTGGGACATCCCTGTGGGCAGTTTGGGCCAGCTGTACTGGCTCCGTCCCCTCCCAGCTCCTGGTGCACCCCCAGCCTCCTCACTGGCATGGCAGCACCAGAAGCTGAAACCCTCGTCTCTGTGCAAACACTTGCTCTCTGTGCAAGCACTTCCCTTTTCCAGCTCTTGTGGCTTCTCATCACACTGAGAAAAATCACTTAGACAAAGAGAACAATGATTCCCAATTTACAGTGATGTAGCACAGTTGGGGAAAACCCATGGTGACTCCAAAAGCAAGAGATGGTAAGGTAGATCTGGAGAGAAAGCAGCGTCAGGCTCTTCTCCTGCCAGTGCTGAGAAAATCCTGTGTACACTGGATGGAAAAAATCCATTTCTGTGCTCTCATGCCTTGTAAGTCAGCAGTTTTGTCTGTAGCTGATCGATGAATAACACCACAAGAAATACTCCTCACTGTCTCCTTCCAAACCACCCCACCAGAGGAGCAAGGAAGAGAGACAGCAAGAAAGCAGGAATTAATTCCAGCTTGACTTCAGTGCACTTGTTAAGAGTGCTCTGTGCTTGCCAAATAAAAGCACCATGGTAACAGCTACAAGTAAATTAATGAATTAGAAAACAGTGTTCTTTGCAAACTGTAGCTGTAGCCACAAAGCTCCATACAAGGCACAACCATACAAATTCAGAGGCAGGCAACATGGATCTAATACAACCACACAGCTCCCTTGCCTGGCCAGAGGAAAATGCCAAACCACAGCCATGTTTGGGGGTCTGAAGTATGAATTTTGGATGAAAGACTGTTATTTTGTCCACTCAACATTTTAATTTTGTTGCTATTAGACTCTTGCCGTGGGAGTCCTTTAGTGGAAGAAGTCAATCTATTGTTATTCCAAAGGTAGGTAGATTTATAGTAAAATCTGTTCTCCTTTCCAAATCACACTGCTTTTACAAGTGCCAGTCTCTTGCTCAAATAGCAATACCAGTACATTTCAGGAAAAAAAAAGAAAAAAGAAAAGAAAAAAAAATCTGAATACTCTAAGCCTCTGCTTAAGAAAGTAAACATACATAAAATTATTGATATTTTAGGTATTCATGAAATGCTTGCTGTTTTTTGGGGGAGGGGATTTTCTTTCAGCCTCACATCACTCACATCAAATGAGGATGTTATTGAGGAATTCAACAAAAGATTAGAGATTAGTGTTGTTTTTTTTTGTTGTTGTTTAAGGAGTATCTCCTAAATGTGAAGACATAAGCAAAGGACAAGCAGAATCCCCTAAGTGTTCAAAAAATAAGAGAAACGGGCAACATACCAAACAGCAGAGCTGCCCCAAAAGAGAGATTGTTGATTAACAGCTTAGAGTTGTGATGAAGGTTGAACAGCTGAGTTTTAGCTTTCTTAAACCGGAGCTGAGGATGACACATCAAGAGGAAATGCCAGACAGGCAGGCTGAGATTTCATTTGGACACAAGCAGATGGGTCTGGAACATTGATTGAATTGAGGCTTGTCCATAAAAGATGGTAGTTACCTTTGTACTTATAAATGAGTCAGGTACACAAGAAGGAAACCACAGACAGATTGCTCTACAAGACACAAAATATGAACTAATATTTTCCTTCCCTGTTTTCATACCCATGCAATAATCTATGCTTTTTTTCACATCAATTGCTTCAGTGATTTCTTATTTTAACACGGAAATCAGATTTTCCACAGCTCTAAGCCTTCAGAGGAGCCTTGCAATACAAAAATATGGTACTGACAATAGCACAGATTTTTCAGGGAAAAAAAAAAAAAAAAGATATATTGCAGTTTGGGGAGTGTAAAGGGCTACTGACATGTTCAAACAACATGAAGTTGTGTATTAAATACTGCATTTGAGTGAGAAAAAAATCATGACACTTGGAAAAGAGAAAAATGAAGTTTCATCACTATGCGTTACTGACAGACCCAGAGACTGAAGCTTGCGATCTTCCTTTTTACTGACCAGATACACCAATATGACTCAAAACCGGTCTGTAGCACCTGCCAATATTGCCAAGAGGCTGATCATGATGACAGAGGATAATTTCTTTCAACACAGAACTTGTGCGTAGGGCATAGAGGTTCCTGCAGATGCTCAGGAAATGCTGCATCTATCACAGGATGAAGTCCAGAGCACTCTGTGGTCATCTCATCTTCACAAAAACAGGGCTGCTTTGACTTAGCTCCCACAAGGACATGAAAGATGTGGGGATGACCCTTCATATTAGCTGTAAGACACCTTGACTGCTACTCAAGCCAAGACCAACAACCTATTCAGTGATGCTTCAGCACCCCACACTTGCCTCACTCCATGGTAAAAATCGGTGCTGCAGAAACCCTACTTGAACCATGCCGTGATAAAGACACTCCTTAGATCACATGTACCATCAGAAATGCAGTCCAGTTGACACTGAAAATCTGCCTTCTCTCAGAAAGAGGCACATCCATGCCAACTGTCACCATTTCATTGCAAGCTTCTGGTTGCTTTGTCTTTTTGCCAAAGCCCTAACACCAACTCACATGGGACTGATTTCAGCATCTGCAATTCTCAGTAGCCACCATCAAGTCAACACCAACAAATATTCTCATTGCTGTTACCCTTATGCTCACCCCTGTTTGTTCCTCTTCCACCTGATACACCTTTGGGCAAAGACAAGGTTGCTGCATGGTTTTGTTACTCAAAGCCCTGTGCAAACATGCAGAGCACCCACGCACTGTTATCCAGGCTTTGTCTTGACAGCTTAATGTCTAAGGGGACAGTAAGGGATATTAAGGTTGCACT